GTTTGTCATTTTCAACTGCGAGCGGAAAATAGCTGCAATTTTATTCGTTGGACTTTACAAGCTAATCTTTTAGCTTGTTATGGTTGGAAAAACTTCACAAAAACTTTAGTTTTTTTTTCCTTTATTACTTTAACTTTTACGTTAATTATCCATTTAGATAGATTTATCACTAAATAAGTAGGTAATAAATGTAATTGCTCTACTAAGTTCAAGAATTACTCGCTCATTACGGCCAATACAAATGCAGCGCGCATCCGAGTGAGAAACTGCTTCTGGTGTGAAGGACATTAATTAGATAAGTCGCTTCAATAAGATTATCTTAATAATAGTTTTATTATGGAATGGATTCTATGACAAGGAATGAAAGGAATGATATTTCTCAGAATTTACGAGTATGAACGGTATATTTGAGTTCTAAGTGCTTTTATTTGAGTATTTGGAATTGCCAATTAAAGTTCTGTAGTTGACAAATTGCCTACCTACGTGATATGTATAAGTAAGCATTGGTATCATTATCTAAATTAAATTTAGTTTATTTAATAAAGATTCAGTGTCTGTAAATGTTGAATAGGTAGGACAGGCAGGACTTGACGACTGTATAAATTTTACGAGTTAATGTATTAACTCCTGAAGTGGTAAGGAATCAGCTGAGCGTGTTAACCAGAGAGCTAATCCCGCGTTATAGCACCGCTATCCGACCTGCATCGACATCTGCACTCGGCTGGCAGCGCGCCAGCCCTATGATGTTGTGGACGACTGTAATTCAGCTTGTCAGTGATAAGGTTTGTTCAGTATTCAGTATATTGATAACCGCAGCACAAGATTTGTGGCTTGCCCACATCATGCACTATTAAGACCGAAATTATTACTGCACGATTAAGTTGTGTATTGCAATTAAAAGCCAATTAGTCGCTGCTCTATTACTAATACTTTACAGCTATTTAGCGGTTTTATGGTAATTAATTTGCATAAATTATTTACATTGGCTTAACTTGTAAGCAGGTACTTAAACAATTGTTTATACGGGCTGTATTTTAGTGTGGAACGGTAAAATAGGCGTGGAAAAACGAACTTATATCCGAAAAGCGTTATAACACCGCTATCCGACCTGCATCGACATCTGCACCCGCTGGCTGCGAGCCAGTTCTAGTATGGTGTTGTGGACGACTGTTATTCAGCTTGTTTGTATGTTGGTATTGATATCGGAACTATGGCACGGGTAATATATTACCTAAATATATGCTTTACATTTTATTATTCACAGGTAAAAAAAACGAAAGGTATTTTTCTGAATAAGCAAGAACTACTTGACATACCTATCTAAAAGCTTAATGCTAGCTAAGTAACTGCTAGCTGGCTAGAACCAATCTAACTTTATCTCGGTGGACTTAAGTGCTTTTTGCATTGTTATCAAACTCACGTACGTGCGGTTCAGGTAGGATAACGGGAACTAATTCAACGTGAGCTTTCAAGATTCGACCTAAACACTAACTAATAACTGAATTGACCAGTAAAAGTCATAAAAGCTTGCAATAACTAAGCCAAATTATAACCTAAGTATTTTTTTAAATTAATTTTATTATTTTTTAAAGGATATCAGCATTATTAATTAATTAAGGTGTAATGTTAAAAAATAAAGACACCTAATAAAAAAACTGAGTTTAGCACATTTTTGGCGAAAAATAGCAGCTTGTGAACACAATTGAAACTTGGCTGAAATGTCCTTCAGATGAATAAATAAAAAAAATAAAAAATTCCCGTGTTTATTTAAATACAATTTTAATTTATTGTATTTTAGTTAAATAAAACACAAGGTTGGTAAGTTAACAAGATATTCGGCTGGTATTATGCTACTTGTATGTTTCTGGCGTCGCGCCAGCGCTAGATGATGTTGTGGACGAATGTAATTCATTCTGCGATTTGGGTACGTAGGCATATTGACGTTGTTATTGTATATTAACGTCGCGGCTTTATATTAATAATAGTTTCATCATCATTCATCAAACAACGGCAAAGAATAACACTCGCAATACAGCCTTATATGTAGTTGTTGCAATTGCAAAGTGAGCTTTACATTATATGTGATTGCTCGCTACTGTTCGTTTTTCAAAAGTTTTGATAGACACTATCGTTATGTGAATGCACACGTACACAAACAAGTAAAGCTCACTTGCCTTCGTGAGTTGCAAGAAATATACTTGTTTTGAACAATGTGGTTGCTGTCGGTATCTACCATAAGCCAAATAAAAATGTAAAATAATAAATTCGCCATGCAGTTGAAGAGTCCTTGCACATGGTCCTTCGAGCCAGATTCCTTCCCTGGTAGTTAACGCGCGCTATGATTGTGGCTATTATGAATAGAAAGTTAATAAAGTTACTTTAGAAGTTCTAGAATTTTTCAACAGGTATATAATTTAGAAATTACTGTCGAGTAATCATTTAGTAAACTTCAGAGATAATTTATCTTCAATTTTTGACCTGTTAAAGTAGGTACTTATTTACGGAATGTTGTTTTGATAAATAGAAGTGTAAAGTAAAAGATAAACTTATTTGAAGTCAAACCGCATTGACTCAGTGAGGTTGTAAATAATTATCACTCTTTACTCAGCCTAATAGCGCGTGGGCGCTAATCTTGTTACGCTTACAATGTAAGCACTGACGCTAAGTACACCGACGGTCATATCAAGGTTAGCACTGTGGTATCTTATATCGTTGTAATAAGGTGCTATTTTGCATCTACAATTTATAGCCTGATGGGCTGTAAGTAGTTCATTAAGCATTGAAGACAATGTAAGTCGATCTCATTAATGGACATGTTTTATGACGAGATTGAGATACAATTTGCATGGAGAAGTGTCTGTTAATTGATTGATGATTTGTCAGTTTGAATAAATTATGGTAGTGCCCGCTTTTAGAATAAATTTAAAGTGATTATTGCTTTAATTTTGATACGTTCTGACTTAGATGCTTGCTCTTAGTGGGATTAGAATCTAGAACCCAGTAGATACTGTAGGTAGCTCTGTCGCCACTTCTATTGTCCCGAGACAGTAGGTATAGGGCAAATTATGTATACTTAGAACGTATTTATGTGAAGTAAATAACTAATAAAAAAAAAATGAAGACGAACCACCAAGTCATGTGGCCGTCGAACCAAATTGAAAAAAAAAAAGTGCGATATAAATAAGTAGCTGAAACATTTTATTAGCTTCAAACAATAAAAGTTAACCTTAGACAGTTATCTTTTACGGTTCACTTGTTACAATCAATGAAATAATTTACAAAGGCAAGCTTTGATGTCTCGATTAAATAAAAAACACAATCAAATGAGCTACATGAGTTTATAGTTAAAGTTAAAAGTATTTTCGTTCTTAAAACGTTTTTCGAGTAATAAATTAAATTCAGTCGAAGTGTTGGGAAGCTTTTGTGGGAACACAAAATCTGTTCCGATGAATGAAAAAGTTTTTATTTGGTGTTCGTGTGTTGGATGTTGTTGTATCGTGTTACACCAAAACTTGACAAAACCATTTAGGTGTGTTTACGTTCTCATAATATAGGGCCATACCATGTATGTTGCTCTTTTAGGTGTAAAAACTACAGAACGGATTTCGATGAATCTTTACATTTAATATACCAAAATAACATAAGTATAAAATTCGATCTAATACAAACTGAATTTCACGCGGAAAAAGCGCTGAAGCTTAAAATGTGATCAAAACTTACATTGCGTGTCAACAACTAAAAAAGCTACCAAGACTAAAAAGTTATTGATATTCAATACAAATCCTCTTATAATAGCCCAAGGACATTCCGAGGGTGAAATTCAAAGACATGCCCGAAAGAGGTTTACGAATCTCGGTCAAACCTGATATTCTTTGAAGCTTACGGCAGAAAACTTTTGTGGCGGTCAGAAAATCCTCTTACTTCATAAAGCGTAGCTGTGAAAACCTTTTCAATATTTGTTATTTACAATGTAGTCCGATACGAGCATCGATTCAGTGTGCACAAATAACGACGCCGAGTGTGCACGGTTTAAACGTTTTTCCTGTAGCTTTTTGTTTGAGCCGATGCAATGGTTTTTCTGTGTCTCGTCGAATTCGTATGTGATCGTTTTCCTGACGAGAGTCTGTTAGGATTTTACTGAGTTTTTAGTAGTTGAATTATTTTTGAAGGAAATTTCTTACTGTGTCACTATTCTGTAAACTTATTTGTCTAAAGGGATATACTCATACACTAGAGCATTTTCTCGAGCATTTGAGATACAGGATCTTTCCTAGTTCAGGTGTCAACCCGCCATAATCGGTAAAATGTTCCTTTTAATCAGTCATGTACCTTATTTGTAAGATTATGGAGAGAATAAAGATATTTTTATTTTTTTATTTCTATGTATTGTAACAAATGTTACAATACAGGTAAAAGCTCAGTTTTCAAAGCACGTTTGATTCGCGAAAGGGTGATACTTGAACATATCATAGAACAGAGTTGTTATGCTGCAAGTAAATGCTCTACTCTATACCTACTCACTTTAACGCAAGCAGAAATAACTTCCTATAATATTACTTTATAAAATATGCCTTTGTTCAATATCGTTTCAAATTGGATTAAATTATTGCGATGAATAAAAAATTCAATACGCATGATCCTTTGTAATCAATATTCACTATGACCTGAATTGACCTGAAATTCGAAGGCGTCAGCTTATAAGAAAAGATTTTTCGACAAAGCCGAATTACGCAGGGAACTTGAAAAGGGGACCTAAAATCTGTCGTTTAAACGCTAATGAATATTAAGTAGTACCTAGACTTAATTTTTTTTTTTTAAATTCAAGTTTTTTGCGTGATCAAATCAATGATAAGGATGTTCATTTGGTACACATACTTAGCACTAAAAGATTTCATATCTTAATAATGTTATTACCTTATACGCTATTGTACATCCAAAAACCTAGTCTAGGATCTAGGCATCAGGATGTGGATACACAAAGGAAGATACAATGTACATACCTGGATGAGGATGATTATGAGCGTGTTCCGCTGGTGGCTGCATGGAAGACAGAGCTGATAGTGGAGTGTACCGGGAGCCATCCTCACGCGAGCAACCCTCCTAGAGAAATACACCACAAATTATTACAAGGTCAATAAATCAGAGGTGGTATTACAAAGCTTTTATTCCAAATTGCAAATAAAAGTCATAAATGTCATCATCATCAGGTCATTCAGTCTCCTCTGCAGGAACACGACCCTCTGTAATTTATTAGATGCTAAGTAAATACCCAGACTAATCCCAATAAAAGGACTGACTGTAGCAGAGACAAACAACTTGCTAATAAGGCAAATAAGCGCCGTGCTCATTAAACTAAAACTGTCTTAAGACAGATTAAACCGATTTTTAACGCAGAACTTTTCAGAGTTAAGCCACATTCACTGTGAGATTTAACGCGTCTAATAGTTAAATTTCAACGCATAATCCATTCACGCGTAAAAGTTTACACCCCAATTGATACCATTTGCCCATTCCAAAATCACCGTTTGGCTTAATGCAAAAGGGCTGCTTTTCTCGCCGAGGTAAAGCTGGGAAGGATAATGTAGGGATGAGATCCCTAGGCGTGTTTACATAGAACTTACTTCATTACCGGGTATTAATGAGACCCGACGCGCCGACGGGATCCGATCTTTATTACTAACAGCATTACACACACCAATTTGCCGACTTTTACCCAATACGGGTCTCGTATTATTGTTTTTGATCCCAACAAGTTTCCCCAAACACATAAAAGATTCAATTTAATTAATTGATCCGGAGTTTTCAATTAAGGTTAATGTGTAAACGTTGGGAAATTTTAATTATAATTGCAATTTTAATTCTTACCTTTTCGCAGTTTGCTGTGGCCGTGGTCTGCGTGTGGCTCGTAGAGGAGATTCGGTATTGCATTGCGGTGCAAAACCCCTCGTGATGAGTCGAGTACACTCCAGTTATGGTAACGTCAGTGTCTTGGTTGACGATCACCTCAACCTTCTGTTTCCTGTCTGTTAACGAGGCCTCATCGAACTCTTTTTTAGTTTCTTCTAATTTACTTTCCGACTTCACGCCGGAACCTACCCCGTTTTTTGGCTTCTGAGAAAAAGACTCATCACTACAAGAATCTGATGACGTGTCATCTTTACTAGATTTAGGCGATCGTTTCTCATAGCTAGCAGCTAAGATCGCCGTCGCATTCAAACTGGCCATCCGTTTTTGTACTACCATGTCCTTCAGATCCATCACTACTTCATTACGATTTCTTTTCTTTTTCACAGGGGCTCCAGGTGATTTTTTCATTTTTGCTGGAGGTTTCTCAACGTCAGATTTTACGGCCGCAGTTTTGGTGATAGTTTTCTTTTTCTCAGGACTAATGGTTTTCTTTTTCGTTTCAAGCTCACTATCTTCGCTGGACGAAGTCGAGGACTTCGGATCCCAGTATTTACCCGCGCTGCGGATACCTGGGACCCCACGCAGAGTGCGTGAAGGAGGGTTGTCATCAGAACTTTCAGAGCTCTCATCTTTTTTCTCAGCCTTCGATTCATACTCAGATTCCGAGTTTGAAGTCGTAAGTTTTTCTGACTCTTTCATCTTACAGTCTTTCTTTTTAGTAACTATTTGTTTAGACGTACCTGGAATGGCTTGTCTATCAACGGTCTTCATCAAACCTAACTCCATATGTGTACGACTTTCATTTTCGTATAAGCAATGTACTTTAGCCATAGCATTAAGAGATGCCATTCTATGTTTTTTAGGCCCAGCCCACATAGATAACAGTTTGAGTCGTCTTTTACTCGGTTTTTCACCTAAGAGCAGTGAGTTATCTTTGAGATCAACTAAGGAGTCTTTAGAAAGTTCTTTTAACTCCTTTGATGTTGTGGCTTTCTTGGCAGTATCAGTTATTCTTTTATATTTTTTATTTTTCATTTTCTTGGTTTTAGGTGTATCTGAACCGGAAGACTCTTTGGTATCATTGTCATCGTTAGATTCATTAACACTTTCATCTGAAGAGGCATAATGAAACGAAGTGTTTAAAGCGAATTTGGAAGTATCAATCTCTTCATCAGATATACTTGGTTTCTTCTGCTGCTTTTTAGGTTTAGGAGGTGGTTTCTTTGTAACAACAGGGGAAGTAGTCTTCGGTGATTTTTCCGTTTTGCTAGAAGTTGGCTCTTGGTACAAAAATTTTATTGGGCTAAATGGTTTTCCTGTCACACTTGATTTACGAGCCACCATTTTATATGATTTACTTACAATTGGTTTTGGATTATCTTCTGAATCTTTTTGTTCATTTGCCGCCCCTGACTGATCATTAGATGTACTGATTGGAATTTGTGTCGCAGAGGCATTAACTTCTTCGGTCCTTTTGTTAGCTTTCAATTGTTTTACGACTTCTTCTATAGGGCGATGAGGCGAATACTTTTTCTTCTCGGATTCTGTCTTTTTATCAATGACAGTCCCTTTGACTCTAGCTATGGGCCGTACTCTTCCAACGTTTTTAGTAACAGGACTGCGAAAATCAGATAATATACTTTTTGGAGAGTCAACCTTTTCAGTGAAGGTGTAAACATCAATATCAGGGCCTTGAGAGACTAGCGTATTTGATGTACTTTTTTCTTTATTGTCATCATCAGTTTTAGTTTCTACTTTCATAGATAGAAATCTTTCTGAAACAGATAAATTTCCTTTGGAAGTTTTACAGCATTTAACATCTATATCAACAGTTCTTGGTGTTCTGCTGGAAGTAAAGAATTTCAAGGGCCTTTCTGTTTCAGTTTTGGGCGTATCTATTGTTATTGTTGACACATTCGTAGAAATATCCGTAGCGCTTGTTGGTGCAGTTTTGGGTTCTACTTTAATTTTATCTTCAAGATTAGTCTCCAATTTCTCAGTTACTACCTCTTTACTAACATTAGGTTTTTCATCATCTTCATTTTTGATCGAATTATCTTTTTCCTTATTTTTGTCGCAGTCTTCTTTTTGTTGCACTTCTGGCTTATTATTAGTTGTAGCTTTTTTCTTTTGACTTATTGTATTTACTTTTTTAACCACAGTTTTAGCTTTACATAACTTTGCGGGGGTCTTCTTAGCGGCATCTACATTAATTTTGTACTTTGTATCATCAACTTTTGTTTCAGCTTTTTTGATGTTTGAATTTTTGTTCACTTTTTTGCCAGATTTGGTTGTCTTTTTAGGAGGTTTCTTGGCAGCTACTTCCGTATTAGTATTAGCCATATCTTTCTTATCTTTGGGATCCTTTTTAGCTTTTTTCGCCGGTGATGTACTTCTAGGACTTGATTTGGAAGGGCCAGGCTTGGAAGTTTCAGGAGGTGATTCGTTTTTGTCTCCTGAAGAAGGTTCTTCATCGTTTTTGTTAGAAGTATCATCTTTAGCCAAACTTTTCTTAGGGGTTTTTGCTAATGTTTTATTAGCAATGTTTTTGACCTTCTTTTGCGTTGCAGCTTTCTTCTTGGCCTGTTTGACATTAGAGCTTGCCTTAAATTTTGTTCTACTTACTGCCCCTTTCTTAGGTACAGGTTTCGATGTTTGTGACCGCATTGTTTGTTGTGGTCAGATGAATGTTACCTTCATTGATGGATCGGTGGTAGATTCCACATTCTGAAACAAAAGAAAAGCGCAATTTAATAACGATTTTCATATAATTGTCTCAATTGAACTAAAGCTGCACGAAGCCGGCTGTGTTATGGGTTTTTTATTCTTAAATTTATCAAATGAGGCAGCGGTCCGAGGTAAAGACCTTTTGTTGTACGATTCACCCCACAGCAGATGGTCGTATAATTATTAGGAATAAGTCAACGGAATTCTACAGTGAGTTTTTAATGTAATATTGTTATCTGTACCGAGTACCTCGACTAGTTACACTAGATGCTTATTTTGATCAATCTAAAAGACACTTAATTAAAATATGTAGCTCAAATATAATTAGTTTTACGTAACCCAATGAACGATACCTATTTCATATAATTATCTGAAAGAACCTTGAAAAATGAAAGAACTTGTTTATCTCGCATTGTTAAAGAAAACATAAAGTTTGACATAGTTTACGTATTCGTTTATCGATAAACGCTGATGGCGAGTATAAATTGGTGCCAAAGCAAACATCTGTCGGGCATGCGCCCGCGCATTCAACGCGGTTTACTTTTTGTATAAAAAAAGGTCAAACTAACCGAATTTATACCTGCTTCGATCGCACGTGCCGGGTCACCATTAGGGATAAGATAAAGAAATAAAACTTAAGTGCCAAGAGAAAGAAACATCTGAATGTGTCAAGATAACGCGCATGTTTAGGTACGTTTCGATGACCATATTTTTGAGCAGTGATAAACTACAAAGTTCATATAATTTTATCTGGTATTGTGTAAATATGTACATACCTACTTGTGTTTGTAACCTATATTGATTCAATACGACTCAAAGCGAAAGGTGAATTTAATTAATTTATACCACAGTTTTGGCACTCGAGTCTGCGTGCCTTCCTACTTCACGTTTTAAATTACATGCAAAAATATACGTCATAAGATACACATTCTTACTTTTAATTACAAAATCAAGACGATCTCTGCGCACGATTCGTTACGAATTATGACGTAATCATGCGAATTGAAATACACGTCTTGGCGGCATTTTATTTGCGCCTTGAGCAACAACGCGTAAGGAGCACCAGGGGTCCAATATGTTTTTAAACATCTCGTGTTCATAATTACCACGTAATTGGCAGTACATTTGACTGGGGTAATTAAAATCAACGGGCGAATAAGTAACATGATATCCAGTGATGGCTCCCGATAATTTGTGGTGTATTTGCGCTTTTGAGCCGGTTAATTTTAAGTGTTTTAGCAGTAAATTTGACGCAAATACGAGTAATTGCTGAGGTATTAATTGCTTGGTAATTTTATTGGGCCAAACAACACGACAAGTACTTAAGTGAAGAAGTTCAGTAAAACGGCTTCCGACCAACTCTGGCGAAACAAAACACAACATTTGAAAACAAACATTCCATCGCTGAAATACGTTAGAACACAGCCAGAAGCGGATAATATTATAGCATTATTTAACAGCAGAAACGGCAGCGTTCAAAAACTTTTATTGGAATAGTTTCGGCGGCGTTCACCGCTTACGTCCAAATCTACGCTCTCAATGAGAATTTCTCTTTTTACGAGCCCGTTGCGTTTCATGACAGCGAAATTTGTCTTGAATACATTTTCGAGCTGTTAATTTTTAGGGTTACGCAGTACAAACAGTGTTAGGTTTCAATGTTGTGCTTTAAAATCGACCTACTTTATTATCATGTAAAGGGTTTTTGATTTTGAGGCATCTTGGTGGAAATTTCAATTTGGTGATTTATGCAAGAAGTACCTAAATAATGTTTCAAAATAGTTTCAATTTCGTGTGATGCGCTATTTATAAAAATACTTTCTGTTCCGCATTAATTTATGTTCCCAAATAGGAAAATTAACTCTACTTCATGGTTTTTACGTCTGAAACTTGAGTAACATTTTGGAATAGAGTGCCTTTCCCACCTCAGTTCTTTGTTTGCCGCTCCGCGGAATAAGCGCTGGATAACGGAAGATGCATTCAACGATGGCTTCCAGGCAAACAAAGAACTGAGGTGGGAAAGGCACTCTATTCCAAAATGTTACTCAAGTTTCAGACGTAAAAACCATGAAGTAGAGTTAATTTTCCTATTTGGGAAGATAAATTAATGCGGCAAAAGTATTTGTGCTGTAATTGATTGTTGATCTGTGGTTTTGAGTTTGACAGTTATAACGTCAATGTCACGTGGTTTCGTGCTCTCTTGCTTGGGAATTTTTCCGGGGCTGGCCAGTGGCCACATTTCCACGCTTTCAGATGAATATAATCTACCAAAATTATATCTATCTTTCAATTAATTATCCTGCAGTACTCACTTTAGAGAGGACAAAACATAAAAAATATGGTTCTATTGAGCCTTCCATCATAAAAAACTATTTTTATTCAGAACAACAAACTATTACATACATAAATTAGTTATTAGTAATATGTAGGTATGTACATTTTGTACAAGTAATTTACAAATTTAAAAACTAAACTATATGTACAAAAAAAAATACAAAATTTACAAAAAAGGAACTCATAATGCTCAGCTCGACTTCAACTTGCCCTTTTTTCGAGTTGCGATTTGGTTGTTTATGGCTTGTTGTGACATCATAATGAGATTTACTTGCCCATAAAAGTTAATGTCATCTTTCATTTGTATGATAAATATAATAATTTGACGATGCGACATCAGAATGTTTTCTAAAGGATATTTAATGAGAACGCGTTTAAAATATCGTCGTGTATAATTAGTAAGAGATACTACTCCCATCTTGAAATCTAATTTTGAATCCAAGAAACTAGACTATAAGTAAATCGGTAAATGACTTTTAAAAGTGCAACTAGAGATAAAATTCTGATAAATATAGTTTGTACGCTAATAATGACTCGGCAATCTATCAAATACAATACACATAATGGCAGCGATTTACTCGTGTTATCGCTTCAATCGAGTCTTGGCCCTATCGAAGTGCAATCGATTAGATATTCAGTCTGCAGACTCCGAAGCGACTCGATTGATCGCCGATAAATCGAGAGTTGAGAGTGAGTGGACAAAGTGTCAATCATTCTCGTCGATTTGATGCGTCGACACTTCGCTGGCGTACAATGTATCACCTTTAGCTTAACACTGTGGCGTCTTATTTACTTGTAATAGGTGTTATTTTGCTACAAAAATGTGCAGGCTGATGTGCTGTTAGGGTTGCTTTGTTTTTCAAAGTATAAAGTATATCAAAGGTTGGAGAAGGAAAACAAACAGTATTTAAAAAAAAACAGTTTAGCTCTACAACGCGTACCTGAATGTAGTGTTGGGCATTTATTTTCAAAAATATCTATGGACTAGTGATGCTTGCTAGAAACAGTATTTTGTATACTTTATTTTTGTTCAACAGTAAAAAGTATAATTTAGTGAAAAACAGTATAATATACTGTTCAAAACAGTATAGTTAGCCACCCTATGTGCTGTCGACTGTACAGACGACGGCACATCAACCTAAGCAATGCGGCATCTTTTTTCAGCTGTATTAAGTGCTATTTTGCAACAAAATTGTATAGTCTGATGCGCTGAATTGTAGATATGAATGTAGACGTAGACGTGCGTAGACGCAGACGATAGACGTCTCAAGGTTATCAATTGGACGGCTGATTTACGAGACTTGATTTGAGATGATGACGCTGGCCTGCATTTATAAAGACGTGTTTTTGGTAGACCTGCCAGTGAGATTCATTCACTAAAGCTTCAACCCAGCGTTGCCAGTTTTTTTTTTCGCCAAGTCGGGACTTTGGTACTTTTTGAGTGAAAATAGCGGGATTCTTCCGTCAGAAGCGGGACATAGTAAAAAAACGTGTAATAATCAAAGGTTTTCAAATATTTATGTTTTTATTTGACTTAAAATTACGTTTACGTGACAATAGATAGCAAAAGAAGCTATAGAAAATGTATTTTAACAATTAAAATAATATTTTAAATCAGATTTAGTACGTACGCCACGTAAGGTCGAGTTCTCTCCGAAAAGCGGGACCGAGCCTGTCCCGCGCGGGACATTTAAATTTGATTTAAAAATCGGGACGTCCCGCCAAAATCGGGACGTCTGGCAACGCTGCTTCAACCACACCAACGCGTGCAGATCGGCGCACTTACAGGTTGCGCAACCTGTCATTGGCCTATGATCGCGCTGGCGAAGACGATCTGTGTACTTACCATGAGTTTACGTTAGGTGTGCTCGCTAGCGAGTACGTCAAAAATCTCTATGAAGATTTTGTTTCTTGAAAGTAGCCGCTAGGGGCGCTGCACAATATGTCATACAATTTAATGTCATTTTTTTACGCAGTCGCTAGCGAGCACACCTAACGTAAACTCATGGTAAGCACACTGCACGCGTTGGTGTTGTTGAAGCTTAGGGGTTATCCATAAAGTACGTCACACGAATTTCATGATTTTTTGAGCCCCCCTCCGTCCTTGTCACAGGTGGTCACATTTCTGAGACCCCCCCCCTCCCTAGTGTAACGTCACATGTTTTGCAATTTCACATAGAAAAAATCCCAACTAATATTATAAATGCGAAAGTAACTCTGTCTGTCTGTCTGTCGGTCTGTCTGTCTGTCTGTCTGTCTGTCTGTCTGTCTGTTACGCTTTCCCGCTTAAACCTCGCAACCGATTTTGATGAAATTTGGCATAGAGATAGTTTGAGTCCCGGGAAAGAACATAGGATAGTTTTTATCCCGGTTTTTGAAACAGGGACGCGCGCGATAAAGTTTTTCTGTGACAGACAAAATTCCACGCGGGCGAAGCCGCGGGCGGAAAGCTAGTATTAAATAAACAGCAGTTCCGAAAATTAGTTTTATTTCCATTTAAATTAAGTACTTTTTTTTATGAAATCAACATTATATCAAATATTTGAAACAATTGAAATGTGATGTCAAGAAACTTAGGACCCCTCCCACCCCTTGTCACACCATGTCACACTTTGTCGACCCCCTCCCCTCCTCTTTACGTGTGACATACTTTATGGATGACCCCTTAT